CCTACTAACCATGACATTTAGAAAATATAAGTTACCCTCATTCTCATGAGTAAATTTAATATTAGGGTGTAATAATAAAAGATACAGAACATTGTAGTGAAAATAAAATGAACATTATTTATCGAGAATCTAATATTAATAAATATAAAATAAAAGAAGCTGTTTTAATAAAGGAATACAAATCTATAATAAATATAATGCAAGGAGTTGTTTATACTTATACTAAACTCAAAGTTATGTTTCTGACATTGGCGTGTTTAGTTGTGCCAACTACCTAATGATGCCACATTAACAGTGTTGAAACGTTTTAAACGTTATATTTTTTCTATCCCATTTTAGCTCTTTTCTAAATTTTATAGAACAACTTGTTCATGCAGAATACAATAGATACAATCATTTGGTGTGTTTTGATGATGTTAAAGTCAAACAATGCGGTACCTATAGATATAAAAGTCATTGTCCATAATCATATTCAAACAGTTTTGCACAAGATTTTGCAATATTTAAATTGTCTTTCTCATGGTGGAAGTGACTTTTGATACATTGAACCTGTTTACTAAAGTACAAGAAAAATATCTTTATAGGCACATATATTCCCCGCATTCCTGCTACAAGTATAAGTTCAAAATTTGAAAACAATCTTCCCTTCATTCGTATGTAAAGCTTTTCTTAAGTTCCAGTAAGTAGTACATGTGTGTAAATCTAACATCTTGCTTTACACCTGAAATTATTTTATAGTCTTCTCCTGGTAAGCAAGATACATAGTTGACTTTTCAACTAGGTTTGTTTTATGGTGTTATCCAGATATTAATGAATGTGTGGATTTAGGTTTGTGACTAGGTTTGTTTTATGGTGTTCTCCAGATATTAATGAATGTGTGGACATAGGTTTGTGACTAGGTTTGTTTTGTGGTGTTATCCAGATATTAATGAATGTGTGGATTTAGGTTTGTGGCCAGGTTTATTTTGTGGTGTTCTCCAGATATTAATGAATGTGTGGACATAGGTTTGTTTTGTGGTGTTCTCCAGATATTAATGAATGTGTGGATCTACATTTGTGGCCAGGTTTGTTTTGTGGTGTTATCCAGATATTAATGAATGTGTGGATCTAGGTTTGTGGCCAGGTTTGTTTTGTGGTGTTCTCCAGATATTAATGAATGTGTGGATCTAGGTTTGTGGCCAGGTTTGTTTTGTGGTATTCTCCAGATATTAATGAATGTGTGGATCTAGGTTTGTGACTAGGTTTGTTTTGTGGTATTCTCCAGATATTAATGAATGAGTGGATCTAGGTTTGTTTTGTGGTGTTCTCCAGATATTAATGAATGTGTGGACATAGGTTTGTGACTAGGTTTGTTTTATGGTGTTCTCCAGATATTAATGAATGTGTGGAACAGCCTCATTTGTGCTCTCCTCTTGGAACCTGTCGAAACATTCCAGGAAGTTTCAAGTGCATCTGCCCACGAGGCTACGTTACTGATCCATCAGGAACAATGTGTATTGGTGAGTGTTTGTTTTAGCTATCATTTTTTCACTTTCCCTGCTTTATACCAATCTGTGTTTGGACACTGTTTGGTGTTTGTTAAAGGCTGCTAATAAGCAGGCACTAGTTTTTCAAAATTACTTAATACAGTGGTAAACTGCTTGTTTCATATGAATATATAAATTCACTACTTATTTCTTTATTTATTTGGTAATTAAAGATGTTTGATAACTTTAGGTCAGATCATCTAAAGACATAGTAGGTTATTGAAAATGTGTTATGCTTGTGATTTTTGTTTTTCGCGATTAATGATTTAAAGCAACAGATTATTAGATATAGGTTTGTAATATTTGTCATGTATTTATATAGAGCTACTCACAGTGTAATTAATATGTTTTCTAATAAAAAAACAAAGTATAAAACCTTTCAGACAATTTACAAATAAAAAGTTCATCTAAAAATCACGAATTAGACTGATACACATCAATATTTATATTTAACAAGGACAAGATACAATTTTACTTATAAAGTTACACTGAAAACAATGTAAATTTTACAATAACACATGCTTTAGTCACGTTTCTGTGTAAAAGAAGAACACCATAAATAGAGGTTATAAACTGTTTTATCTTACAAAACAAAAGTTCCTTATTGCAATATGAAATTTAAATGTTTTTTTCCATAATTCAGCTATACAGATTTTGAAAATAACGTTAATGTTTTTTCTATCACATAAGGATTTTTGACAAGTCAGGAAGAAAAAAAACTCTTACTTAGATCAAAATATAATTTCGTTTACCACAATGAAAATTTTTTATTATTATGTTTGTTAGCAAGTATACAAACAAACTGAAGAAAAGGGAAGAACATTGATGTCAAGTGAATATCCATCCTCAATCATCCTGTTTTTTTTGTGTATGTGTGAAATCTACGTCTCTTAGTCTCAAAACTACGTGTTGTGTTTTCTATTTTATGTATTGCATTATGATGTTTTGTGAAAAATCTGTACGTGATGGAGAGAAATGGATATCATTTTTGGATTCAGCATAAAGGAATTACTGTGAAACATATAAACATTTCAAGACAATAAAACCATCACAGGCCTACTTTGCCAGCTTAACCTTCTCTGTTTGGATGATTATTTAACAAGTTTGCCATGTAGGCCAGAAAATGTTTATTGGAGAACTTCTGCTTGTCCACCATATGTGTACAGAAGTCTTTAAGTACAATAGCTAATATTGTTGAATGTGAACCTTTTGAAGATTTGCTGTGTTTGAGTAATTATTGAGGATTTACTAATATTACACCTCACTTTGTGGTGGTTTTGAGTTTGTTGTTGTATATAATATTTGTAAGGAGTTCTGGCAGTGGAAAATACTTTTATAACATATAATGGTTTTTAATCAATTCCATGCCTTTTCTTACTGCATCCTTATCGATATCAAAATATTGATATTTTTATAACTAATGAATATAATATAATATTAGACTGACTTTGAAAAGGCTTATTTTGTCAACAGATTCAGATGAGTGTCTGCATGATGGACGCTGCCAGTATGGATGCGAAAACCTTGAAGGAACTTACCGATGTGCGTGCCCACCAGGGTTTGTTCTACATTACTACTGGAACCAGTGTATAGGTGAGTAAAACAGAGATTATAACCTCAACTGTTGTTAATGTTTCACAAAGAATTCAGAGCAATAAGTAGCACGTAACTAACACATTTTATTATAGATGGTAGCAGACTTGGTGGTGGTGGTGGTACTCCCTGCCATGGTAGTTCCTGTACTGATGGTTGCGTTCCTAATGGAGCAAATGACTATATATGTCTGTGTCCAGATGGATACCAAAGAATTGGGCAAGGGTAAGTGTAAGTAGTCTTGGTCAACTGTAATCATAGTTTTGTGTAAAATAAATAAATAGAGGGAACAAACAAACCAATAAAATAATAAGTTTCTTTTTTTATAATACGAAATTTAAATATTCCCTACTTTGAAATGAGTACAATTGGATGTTTTCAATAACATTTGTGAGCTTTGTTTCACTATCATTTCTCAAGTTATGGTATTTTAACTTTGGATAAGGTAAAGCTTCTTTTAATACATACTTACACAGTTTGATAAGAATGGTAAAGTCCAGAAAAATTTAATCACCTATATAACTTACATTAACCATTTTGAAGCCGCTATTGTTTAAAGAATTTGGCTATATTTAGCACGGTAGCCTAACCACACCCATTGCTGCTTATATTAATAGAAACAAATTTTCACAATAAATAATACTGATATAGATTACCGTTTTAGTTATTTTTTACAACAATTTCTAATGGTGCATTTTAACTGGTTTATGGAATTTTGATATTTTATTAGTAATAGTATGTGTGCAAAAAAAAACAAACAATATAGTACCTGAACAGAAATATTACACATTTTCCTGTATGACTTGTCAAGGTTCAGAAAGAACTCTTAAGTATTTATATTAATATGTCCATTCTGTAGATGTATGTTTTACCATGATGTGTACTCACCTCACTCTCGAGTTTTCTATTTTATTAAAAGTGTTCACGAATGTATTCAGGTGTATTTATCCCAATTAAGTCTTCTTTTTTTTTCAGCAGTAGGGGTGAGGGCTTATTACGCTAAAAAACTGGTTTTGGTAGATACCCAAAGTGGACACAGTACAATTACAATTAATTTCGCACATCAACAAACAAACAAAAACTTTTGCAAAAGTCCCCCAGTTGCACAGTAGTATGTCTGCAGACTTACAATGCTAGAAACTAGATAGATATCCGTGGTGGGTAGTGCACAGATAGCCCTTTGTATAGCATTGGGCTTAACTACAAACAAAAAAATAACTTGGGCTAAAACCTCTACCTAATATATTCAATTACCAATTTTTATCATTTCATATTATCACCCTAATGGTGACTGATACTACCATTCTAAGATTGCTATACTATTAGGTTTGTTGCCTAATATATCAGCAAGTATGTTTGTTTTATGTCACAGACACTGTGTGACCACATCAACATTTCAGTCGTTTGGAACAAAACGTCCTTTGGCCAATGGTGGAGAAGCGTATGTTAATGGCCTACTTCCTATTAATGGTGGACAATTTCTTCCGGGCCCTGGTGATTACGGAGATAACAGACTTGCACAGTATCCTTATCAGCAGCACATTCCTGAAACTGGTCGTTACGTTCCTTCCACGGACAAGATAATCTCCACAGAGGGTTGCTACGCTTGTGGTTCTGATGGGAGACGAAGCAAAAGAGATTTGGCAGGGAAAAAATGGCAATTTTTCAAACGATTAACTTCGGAAATGGTATTTGTCATTAAGTTTGAACCATCAAGTTTTTATTTCTAGATAACTGACAGATTGTTTTTACAAAGTTATTAAATTTCATATTTGTATACATGAAAAAGTTCTGTTAAATATTTCATTTGTAACCATATATTATTGACCAGAAATTGACAATTTAGTCAACATTAAATGGCTGGAAAGAAGTAAAAAAAAGTTTTTTAACATATGTAGCTTTAGATGTGTAATGGTGGCTAGCATGAAACTTGTATGAATGTGTATGGTATTCTCAGGTAAAACTTATATGTCCTGAAATGATAAGATAGGTTCATGGAATTATGGGAGATTCCAAAAAATATTTCTGAAAATGGAATAAAGTGGTTGGATGGAATATAAATCAGAGTGTATGTGTGACTGGACCTGGGCTGTTCTCTCAATGATAAACTGACCAAATCTAAGGTTTCTTAGCCAACTCCGGAATGTTAGGCTTACCCAGAGTGACTAGTGCCATGCACGTGGCTAGTCATTCCCATTCAAACTTAAGGGAGGTTGTAACCTCAAGGCAACAGTCTTTATATAAACTTACAAACAATAATTCTACTGTTCAGTAAAAAGGTATAAAAAGCATTGTATGCCTATGTACCAGAGCTAATTGAAAGACCACTAAGCCTGGTCTAGAATTTTCATACAATTTAAAAGATAATGAAGCGGGTGTGAAATTGAATACCTTAATCTTATTATTATATCAATAATAATGTTGCTCTAATATCAGTACTTAGTTGGTTCAACATTTATCAGTGATGTCCATTATCTATAGTGGCATGCTATTTACATGTATTACACTCTTTAAATCAGTAATGATTCACTTATTTATTATATGATGGTGATTTAATTTTTTTTTGTAGTTTGTTAGCTCATTTATTGAGTTTTGATGCTATTATAAATATTATCAGTAACTTCCGATTAAGCCAACTATAAGATCAGAAATTTCTTACAGTAGCTAATTTTATATACTTTTTAACTAAGGATATACAGTATCTTAATAAAAAAGTAATTAAAATAATATACTGAATCATCGCATGGGTACCCTTACTGTTATTGATGTTTTGCAATCATAGTTCAAGTAACATCATGCAAGGTTCAGCCAGATTAAGAGACTTAGGTTAGTCCTAAAACTAACAGTGGAAAAAAATCTTTAAGTTTAAAAAATTAAATGTAATAATATGATAATGGTATCAATAACAAATATTGTTAATGGAATATACATTTATTTACAAGACACAAAATCTAGTTGTTTGTTTTAAATATTTCATCTTTCAAAACATTGTCTTTATTTTCTAATCTTACAGAGGCAGTGGCAAAAGTCTCAAAATATTTCTAATATGACACAAGCAATGGACCAACCAATAATTGTTAAACTTCCAGTCTCTGCCGCTCGTCCAAAGCTCCGACTTCTTCAAATCCATCCCATTATCACTTTTTTGAAAGACAATGAAAAGTATGAGATATCGAACAACAGTAACACTGATGGATTATTTCAACTGGTTACCAGGTAGTTCAGTTATAACGTATTTTACTACTGTCTTCTTTTAGGTTTTATTTAAATATAAGGAAGGATTGTAAGCTCTACGAGATTTGATGAAACTGATTTACTCTTTTTGTAAGCATATTTAATTTTATAAAGTAACTTTAAATCAATTTTAATCTCTGTTGTGTAATGTATTCTAGCCACAAAAGTAACTTTTGAACATCTCTTCCAGACAAGATGGGGCAGTATTGTACTTGTCAAAGAAAATAAAGCAACCGGGAACCTACTTTCTCAACATCAAGGCTAAAACAATCATCCCACTTCCTCTGAAGGAAGACGCACGGAGAGAGGCTTTCCACATGACTGTTCACCTACTAGTTACCAAGTAGTTGTAAAAGCCAAGTTTCAAACAGATGTAGCTGTGGCTGATTGGTTATTCCAGTCAGAATGTGGTATTAATGGTGTGATGATTCATATTTGCTTTAATCTTGTGTTTAACTTTGTTGTTGTTGTTATAGTATTTTCCTCTTAGTATGGTAACCCTCCTTTGCTAGGTCAGAGCTTGTAGATATACTTGAACTTTCATGCAATAATAATGGAAACAAAAATTAAGGTATTTTGAAAATATTAACATCACACATACTATTCAGGTGGATTATTATAATTTGTATTCTGAGTAAATAAAAAGCCCCCCACCTTTATAAGGAAACGATCTGGCTGTTTAACAGATCATCTCTTTAACAACAAACAGTATTGACATGCATGTGAAAAGGATGAATATTTACATGAAGACCAGAGTGTTACGTTAAAGTTGAGCACATCATGTCAAATACTGGAAGCTGAAAAAGGATCTTAATTATTTTTTAGAAGTGACTTAGTGAGAGGGACACTACACTAAGAGATAAGCTCTTACACCACTATTCCACTACATGCCAGCCAGTACACAGTATTTACTGTCTACTTTTTATCATTAAGAATGAAACAATAGAATAGTTGAGGGTTTTATTTTCATCTCTGTGTCACGTCCCGTGTAAGTCAAGTATTACACTAACCTATCTGGTATCTAATAATATTCCACACAGATATGTTGCTTTGTGTTAGTGTTGTGTACATTATTAGGGTCACTCCCTCTCTCTTTCACTCCAATTTTAAGTTATTTTCTGACATTCAAAATATGGCCGAAACAGCCGTAAAGTCGAATGTATTGATAAATGTCCTTTCAGATTTTTACAATACAAATACAAATACTGCTAACTGCAACTGAAAGTTTGATACGATGTTAAAATTACTTCCTTCTTGCGCATCTGTACAATACAGCAACTGAATGCTGTTTGTAATATTACTCAGATACCATGTTTTATTATGTTGGCCTTAATCTTTGGAAGTTATAGACTGACCACATGTATTCCAAATTTTTTCAGCCATTTGTCTTAAATGTGCCTTAACCAACCTCTGTACAAGTTTGTTGCTAGAGCTAATAGCCACTGCCATTTTTGGGAATTCACCCAAGAGCTGCTTAAGCAATGTTCCATATTTAGTTTTCTGTAAATGTATACTTACTCTTTTATAAAAGAAGTTAGATATTTTAGTTGACCATGTACATTAGCATTTGCATCCATTTTTGACTGTACATACCCCTGATATGATTCTCGGGATGGTACTGGCCAAGTTATTGAATTAGTAATTTCTTTATTATGAAAAGTAAACTAATAATATTCAGTATATGATACCAAAAATAACATGTTAATGCAAAATATTTACTTACTAAGTGTTTTTCTAAACTAATTGTGATATCAGTTTAAAATATATATCAAAAAGTTACTTTTCTGACAATTGTGAAAAAAATCCAAGTAGCTTTACTTTTATTACATCTGCAAAATCTTATTTAACTTTCAGTTTTGGAATTCCTTTTATCTTGGATATATCTATATTAATTTTTTAATTATGATTACACTTATTACTCTTGGTATGTGCATAGCAGTAAGTATAATCGTAATTGAAAGATTAGTAACAACTCATTAAGAAAAAAAAAAAAGCACGATACATTTCACATACAGAAATGAAAATGGAAAATTATGTAATTGTGAGTTTCTTTCTGGACAGAATAAGGATTTAAACACTAGGATGCATTGGTGTAATAAGAAACAAACTGCTTTAAATCTAAGAAACAGAGCTTTGTCTAAACACTATTCCGTTTGAATTAAATCAATAGTATGAAACTACAATTCAATTAGGATAAAACTAAGAGCAGATTATTAATGAACTTGTATTGAAAGAGAGAGAGAAGAAACATTTATCAGTGTGTTTGCTTGAATGTTTGTAATGAAAGCCAATAGTGTTCTGTAAACAAAGAATGTCTCGAGTCTTTCATGTCAACTTAAAAATTTATATTCATCAAAAGAATCTAAATTATTCTTAAGGATACTCTAACCAAATCTTATATAATTCTATCCTACGGCAAGAATATTCTGTGATGACACGGTTTTTTTTTTTAATTACTCACATATTGCAGGTCTGTAGTCTTTCTTCGTAATGTAACAACACAGATATTAACTAGTTTTTTTTGCAACTTGTATTTGAAAACTGTACTAAAAATGAAAATTAAAAGTTTTTATTTCTGATGTTTTCTGCTAAGAATTTGATTTTTTTTTTCATGTGAATAAAAATGTATTTGTTCATAAAGAGCATTTCATATGGAAAACAATTAGAAATGCTGCTGTTGTAACTTGCCTGGTGTCCAAGAGTTCTCGAGTTTGAATCCATGCTGAGAAAATAGTCATTAAGTAACCACAGCAAAACTGTCCCACAAACCTCAAAAGAATCTGCACTTGACTTGTGGTCATCCAACAGATCTCACATAAATTACAAGAATGTGTCTTTTTGTGTGTGTGTGAGTTGGGAAGAATGTAGTCATTTGAGTAGTTAAAAAATGCCTTGGTAGCAATTACTACTGGGTTAATCATTTATCTCACTTGATGGAGCACTCACCTGGTCTGTGAGAGGTCGTCGTTTATTTAACTAGATGGAGCACTCAAATGACCTGTGACAGGTCCTTGTTTATCTCACTTGATGGAGCACTCACCTGGCCCATGAGAGGTCATCGTTTATCTCACTTGACGGAGCACTCACCTGGTCTATGAGAGGTCATCGTTTATCTCACTTGATGGAGCACTCACCTGGTCTATGAGAGGTCATTGTTTATCTCACTTGACGGAGCACTCACCTGGTCTGTGAGAGGTCGTCGTTTATTTAACTAAACGGAGCACTCACCTGGTCTATCGAGAGGTCCTTGTTTATCTCACTTGACGGAGCACTCACCTGGCCCATGAGAGGTCGTCGTTTATCTCACTTGACGGAGCACTCACCTGGTCTATGAGAGGTCATCGTTTATCTCACTTGACGGAGCACTCACCTGGTCTATGAGAGGTCATCGTTTATCTCACTTGACGGAGCACTCACCTGGTCTGTGAGAGGTCGTCGTTTATTTAACTAAACAGAGCACTCAACTGACCTGTGACAGGTCGTCGTTTATCTCACTTGACGGAGCACTCACCTGGTCTGTGAGAGGTCACAGATTCAATTCTGAGCCCAGCAAATGTAAAAATGGAAACCAATACTGCAAGTACCAAAATGTACCTGGCAGAAATAATGCACCTTAAGCTACTTGGTATTAAGATAAAGTAGAAGAAATTGTTTTTCAACATAATATACAGAGTAGCCAAAGGGTAATAAGACTCTAAAACAGGTTTTTCTTGAAAGCAGTCTATTTGATGACACTGAAAATGTGTAAATAAAATAAGTCTGTTCAAATTGCTCTCATTCAGCTGATACCATTGACCTATTGTGTTTCTAAATATTATGTCAGTGTGTGTGTGTGGCAACTATCCACAAAAATCAACTTCTGATGTCAAAATAAACTAGAATATGTTTGAATTTTCAGTCTTAATTTAAGAACTATTTCTGTCTATTATGTTGAAGCAATTTTGTCTGCTTTAAGAAATAATTGTTCTTATTTAATTAATCATAATCTCATGAAAAACCCACAACATGACTACACTTGAAAGTTTATAAGTATACTTTATAGATCTTTTTACATTAAAAATATTACAGGTATTTATCTCTCATGAAGGCAAAAATGTACACCCCAAAATTTACAAATTAGTTACATTGAGCTATCTGAACTCTGCCCATGGTGGGGGAGCCAAACCCCAGATTTTAGCCTTGTAAGACTGTAAAACTAGTGCTAAGACTACAAGTTAGTAGTTATGAAAACTTGGCACTGCTGCTTGTTAATATGTATTGCAGGACAAATGTTGATAGAACAGCAAAAAAAAAAAATCATCTACTATAAATAATAGTTGCTAATATAGTGTAACTTTGCTCGTCAAGACTATGTATATTAAGAAATTGTAACATTTTCTGATCTGTGCTGTAGCATAAACTCTAGTCATTTTAAATTAGTAATAATTTTTTGATTTTTTTTTTTACTCAAATTAATCCTTTCTGATTCAAATTGGCTGAGCGTATGAATTTTACCTTGACATTTAATGAGTTTATGGTGAAAATATAGTAAACTGGTACAACAATTGTTATTCTAGACATCTTTCCAAACTACCAAGTATTTCTGTAAACAAACAATGCAGATATGACAAAACGAATCAATATTCATTCACACTGTTAAAGCCTTTAAAACTTGTATAAATAGCAGTGGAAACTCATATGAACTACACATATCATAGCTAAGTTATACAGTGGAGTGTGAAAGTTTCAATAAAATTCAATTACCTGAACTGTGAGTACAAGTTCATTCTTTGAAGAAGGGGAGGAGACTTTTAACTCGAAACAATAAACAAAGAACTTTACAATGTAGGTAACTGAATCCTCACCAAAGGTACGTGAATAGAGGAACTGAATTTAAATAACAACTAGGCAAAACTTACAGTTAGCAATAAAGATAGAAAAATGCACATTAATGGATTTCATGGTTTTCTATATGTATTGAAAACAGTAGAAACTTAAATTATGTCAAGTAGATTAAACATAAAAAAATCATCTGTGTTTTGTAATGTACATAAATTACTCAAGACATTCTGTGGTCCACTGAACCATTGTAAAGTTATGTTACTTGAGACAATCTGTGGTCCACTGAACCATTGTAAGTTATGTTACTTTGAGAGTGTGATTTACTAGACTGTTGTAAGTTATGTTACTTGAGACATTCTGTGGTCCACTGAACCATTTAAGTTATGTTACTTGAAATGTTCTGTGGTCCACTGAACCATTGTAAGTTATGTTACTTGAGACAATCTGTGGTCTACTGAACTGTTGTAAGCCATGTTACTTGAGATACTCTGTGGTCCACTGAACCATTCCAAGTTATGTTACTTGAGACATTCTGTGGTCCACTGGACTGTTGCAACAATATACAGATAGATAATAGTATACCTGAGATACTAAGTTTGGGTGGTTCAGTGATCAATGTCCTAGTGCGTCTGGATGTGAAAAACTGGGATATATTCATCATTCAGTTTAGCCATGGATACAACCCTACAGTAAATCAAACAATACATAGGGTTAGGTTCAAAGATATGGCTCTATGAGGAGTTTACATAGGAAAGCTTTCCTGAGCATGATACCCTCTGATTGTGAGGAAACCCTCATTGACAACATTTTAGAGGATCTGCTAAGTAACCCCATGCAGCATTTTGTTGATCTCAATAATGTTATGTCTCTGGTTGTGGTTGTCTCTGTGGCAGCACAGTTCAAGGTTGTTACATAACTGGACACTGAAGCCATAAGACACCAGCTCCTATGTCTCATTCTGCTCCTGGACAGTCTCAATGATTGGCAATAACCATCAAGACCTAACAGTAATATTGACAATCTGTTGACATGGGCACCACATGGTTTTATAATCTAGATGCCATGGTATCTCTTGGAGACAACATTTCTCAAGTCTAGTTGCCATAGCTGTACCATCTATGCAGCAAGGGACAGAGCTTATTGTAAATGTGCCTTAGCAGGTCACTGGGTGTAGGATTTAAAACATCCTGTTGTAATACGATCCACTTTTGCTGCATAAAATGCAGGACAGTTAACTGCATGTAATGGCTCTGGCTTGTTGAAATTAATGGAGACTGAACTGTATCTGAGAAATTTATCAATGATCCGTGAAAAGTTTTGGATTTTTTACACAGTAGTTGGTTTTATGCATATTTGTTCCAGCTATAGTTGTCTTTGGATATTAAATATATTGCATACTATATTTGCATACAATTTTAATATATTCAAATTATAAAAAGACTGTGGGATAGGTCAAATAAATAAAAAGAAGGAAAGGACAGATGTAAAAGGTCATGGGAGGTTATTGAAAATAATATTTTGCCTTACTTTAACCAGGTAAAACACCCAAGACCAGTCATAAGTTATGGAATTTTGTGTTGCTACTTTGTTGTACATTGGATAATGATGCTGTAAGAATACTAATTGTACATTATCCAGGTCAGCAGCATGGGAATGTCATTGGGTTATCTCATTCATTTGTTGAATGTCCATTTCTGGCCACTATACCACAGTAAAAAAAACATTGATGACAAACCATACAAGCATTGTGGATGAACATCACATGTAGCTAATCAGGACTTGATAAATATCAAATGAATTACCAGCTTGGGTGCATCTTGCCAAACAGCAAGATAACGTGTTGAATGCAGTACCGATACACATACCTAGCACTTGTATAGTCAGTTAAGAGTGGAAGATGGTATTGTAGACCATTGTTATGGACCAAAGAAATGTGATAGCCAACCTATGATGCAGCTAGTCATCACCTGAACTTTAACTCTTTTTAAACCTAAGTGGATGCTGCAAGCATCTGGCTGAAAATACCGATTGTACTACCCAAGCATCCGTCAACATTTATGACTCTTTGGCTGAAAACTAATCCAAACCATGTCATTATCCACAAAATTAAGAAAATTGAAATTTTATAAGGTGTGGTGATAATTATTAGGAAATCATGAAAATAATACTGGCAAAACGTGCAAAAAATTAACTGGTTTAGAAAGTTAAGATAGATCTTCAGATATGTAATAGATCACCACTGCATATGTGTAGAAACAGTTTTTCTAGATGCATTTGTATAAAGATATTGAGAAAAAGAAAAATCAGTTGTGAAACTATGACAGAAAGTTTTATTCTCGATAATTCCCTGATTATTTCTGGAATGTGCTGGTCATAAAAATCTTCCCTGCAAGATTTCCTTAAAAATTATTTTCATGATCCCACTTTTAACAAAACGCAATACCTACTTTCATTACAGTCATAAGGTTCTTGTTGACCATAATGACAAGTTGACAACGGCACCTGTAGGACTGATCTTTACATCTCTCATCATCTTTGAAGAGAGGGTGATCAGATTTCCAAACCCAAAACAGCCCAGCCATTGCCCCTAATTTCAAAATAGTTCTTTTGCTTTTTTTTTTTTGCCAGTGTGATTCTTAATGTCTGACCTGCAACCGTGTGCTCTCAAAAAAAAATAGAAGTTGCTTTCAAAGACATCTGAAAAAAACACTCTTCACCACACACACACAGACAGAACTTTTGAAAGAGTTTAGCAAGA